TGGGTCGCGACAATCACTCTCAGCCTGGGAGAAGCGAGTCCAAGCTCCACCCCAGCAGCTACGGCTTCGGCCCTGCCGTGGGTGCTGGGAGCTGCAAGCCCTGCTGCGGGGGGCAGGCGGGAAAGCCCGGCCCTGCTCCCTGCAGGCTGGGGCCGGTAGCAGTACTGGGCTCTTCCTGGTGCTGATTTTTCCCTGACTCAAACCAATTTTTTCCTTTTCTTTCTTTTATCCCAATTTCATCCTGATATTTATGTCTTGAAGACAAACCCCAAAAATTCCAGTAATTTTTTAAAATTTATTTTTAATTAAAAACTGAGAATGCAGAACACTAAGCATCATCTAGAGTACTCCATTAGCACTTGTGCTTTTCATTTGGCTAATAAAATAATGCACTGTATCGTCAAGCTCTATTATTTCTCCAGTAAAGTAGGACACCATGCTGCTGGAAGGCAGATCTCCGTTGTTTCAACCTCACCAGTTGTTTATTCATTCTTCTCCCTTCCCCCACAGAGTTTAGAAGCAGGATCCATAACGTAAGCAACTCAAAGACAAAACATGTACCTGTTTTACTATGCTATGGCAGGGCAAACTCCTCCTTAATTTCCCATCAGTACCAACCTTAGTTGTGGCAGTATGACAAAAGAGCCTACTAGACAAGAACAGAATTTGAATTAGGAAGCATGAAGGCCTGATCCCATCCATAAATCAGTAAGGACTACCATAATACTGGCATGACTCAGATGTATGAAATACATGGATGCTAATGTGCCATTTATAATGCTTCCTGGACAGCAAGTTCACTATCCAAACTGTAGTCTTCCACTCTTGTGATTAATTCAAGGGTGGCCTAATACATAGAGATTGTGGAAAGAACATGCTTTAAATCTTAAACACCCAGGTTTATCTCAACTTCATACACTTAACATCTGACATAAATGGCATGCCACTAATTCGCCTGTTTATGCCAGCGGTGCAAATAATACAAAGTAAGAAGTGAGTAAACCCCATCAAATGATAATTCAGAAAAAGTGATCAGAAACAGTCAGCATAGATTCACCAAGGGCAAGTCATTCCTAACCAATCTAACTGTCTTCTATGATTAAACGATTGGTTATGTGGATGCGGGGAAAGCAGTGGACGTGACAGTCCTTGACTTTAGCAAGGCTTTTGATCCAGTCTCCCACAACATTCTTGCAAGCAAGTTAAGGAAGTACGGGTTGGATGAATGGACTGTAAGGTGGACAGAAAGCTGGCTAGATTGTTGTGCTCAACAGGTAGCAATCAATGGCTTGATGTTTTAGTTGGCAGCTGGTATCAGGTGGAGTGCCCAAAGAGTTGGTGCTGGGGCCAGTTTTGTTCAATATCTTCATTAACAATCTGGAAGATGAGATGAAGTGCACCCTCAGTAAGTTCGTGGATGACACCAAGCTGGGGGGAGTAGTAGATACCCAGAGTAGATACAAGGGTAGGGCTAGGATTCAGACTGACCTAGACAACTTGGAAGATTGGGCCAAAAGAAAAACTTACGCGGTTCAACAAGGGCAAGTGCAGAAGTCCTGCACTTAGGATGGAAGAATCCCATGCACCACTACACGCTTGGGACCTACTGGCTAAGCAGCAGCTCTGGAGGAAAGATCTGGGAGTTGCAGTGGACAATAAGCTGAATAAGAGTCAGTATGCCCTTGTTGTCAAGAAGGCTAACAGCATACTGGGTTGCATTAGTAGGAGTGTTGCCAGCACACTGAGAGAAGTGATTATTTGCTTCTATTCGGCACTGGTGAGGACACATCTGGAGTTTTGCCTACCCCCCCCAAACTACAGAAAGGATGTGGAGATGTTGGAGAGAGTCCAGTGGAGGGAAAAGAAAATGGTTAGAGGACCGGGGCACACGACTTCTGAGGAGAGGCTAAGGGAACTGGGCTTATTTAGTCTGGAAAAGAGAAGACTGGGGGTCGGAGGGGGATTTGAAAGCGGCCTGTAACTACCTGCAGGGTGGTTCCAAAAAGGATGGAGCTAGACTGTTCTCAGTGGTGGCAGATAAGAGACCAAGAAGCAGTGGTCTCAAGCTGCAGCAAGGGAAGTTTAGGTGGATGTTAAGAAAACCTCACTAGGAGGGTGGTAAAGCACTGGAATTGATTACACCTAGAGAGGTGATAGAATCTCTATCCTTGGAGGTTTTCAAGGCCTGGCTCAAGAAGCATTATCTAGAATGATCTAGTTGGGGAAAGTCTTGCTTTGAACAGTGGGGTTGACTAGATGACCTCTTAAGGTTCCTTCCAACTCTAATTTTCTATGATTCTGTGATAATAGTACATTTCATAGGTACATGAGTCGTTTCAGTAAGTGAAGGCAAACAACACTGTTCTTTTAGCAGAGACGTTAAAAGGGAAAATGAAGCAGATGAAATTATGATGCCACTGAAATTATTTAAAAGTAGATTTGATGCACTCTACTATAAAAGTTAGCAACCCAAGGAAAGCAGTAATACACTATACACTTGGACTGGGATCTTCAGGAGAGACTAAGGGAATAAGACACCCATGAAATAAACAAACAAACATTCCATTAATTTCCAGTGGGATATGGGCATCTAATTCTGTTCCTCTCTTCTAGAAATCCTGATACATGATTATATCATATATATCATCATGATATATTATAATCATGATTAGATATATATATAGCTCATCATGATTATATAATCATCATGTAATGCATATTTATCTGACATCTGCAAAAGTACTTTTCCAGGAAGTGTGTGCACACGCACATGCGTGTGTATGTATGCGTACGCTTGCACATGTATAAGTAGTTCAAGTACGAGCCTCAAAGCCTAAGAAATTAATCTGAAAAAAACCCCACTTTGTTCTCAACACACACACACACCCACAACTATAAGGTGTGGCTTTAAAAAGAATCCATCATTGCTGACAATCCCACTGTAAAATTCCATGGCAGTGGCAAGGAAGATCTGTAAGCATCTCTAAAATAACCTTCCAGGGTTTAGTGGAGATATGCGCCAGTGTTTATACTTTTTAAACCCCTAGGATATAAACACCTCACTATAAAACAGCAATCAGGTTTTGCTTTTCTTTTTTCATTTCCCATATGTTTATTTTAGTGTTAAAAAATAATGCTAACTTCCATAAGGAAAACAGCAAGAGACATCTAAACTAAACAAAACATATTAGAGTGTGTTCCTTAAGATGTTCTTTTGCTTTCCAACTACCAAAAGTAAGATCTGTCCAAAAAAACAGGTTTAAAAAGGAATGATAAGAAAGCAGAGTTTGGTAAGCAGCTTCAAAGTACTGACTAATAAACGTAATGGAATGAAATTAATGAAAGTCTAAGGAAAAAACAAACAAACCCTTTCCCTTAGTCAGAGAAATGCAAAAAACCAGAAGTACCCTCGATAAGCAGAAATTCTATTTAGAATTCATTTTCATTACAAACTAGCAGTCATGTCATAATAAAGCACCATTTTTAATTCAGGGCGATGACCAACTTACCAAAAAAAATCAAAATTCTTTTATCTGGTTTCTTCTTGCAACAAAGAAGTTTCAAAAAAGAAGCTACAAAATGGGAAAGAGTATGAAAGTATAGATGGCCACACACAATCTACATTGTATTTTTCAATACTAACTGGTTAAACCCACTCTTTGTACAGCAGATTTATCCAAGTACATTCTTTTACAAGATTTTTATGTAAATGAAAAGTAAAGTAAAGGCTTTCATAGTTCTACATATGAACATTTTTATTCTCTCAAGCTAGGAAATATGGCCATTCTGACTGAAGCAGGATGAAGGGCAGACATTTTATGAGTGAGGTTCTGCTCCCAGATTTAAGGCCTAGTTTTTTCTTAGGTGGTATGAGCAGATATCTCCTGATCACATCTATATATATTTTTATTGCTTTACAGTCATCTACAGCAAGTTTACTTTCCAGATGAACTTGGAAAAAATTCTTGCTGAATCAGAATAAAGATGTCTGCTATGTTTGAATGTGGCTACAGCAAAAACAGTCCTACTGCCAAGCTGAATTAGCTCAGTAGTGCCTTTCTTTCCATTCAAAGCCAAGCCATTACCAGTTCTGTAAACTGCACGTAGATAAAGCTCAACTAAAACTACGCAGCTGCACCCCCTCCCCCATTACCTAAAGTAACTTTGAAACAAGGCTACTATTACCCACAGTATCAGCAGCTGACACTAAACTATGTTAGCTGGACAAAATAAGCAAACTCAGAACACAAAGACAAAAAAGTGAAGTTTTCCAGACTGTTGTGTAATTGCGTCCACAAGGGCTGCAGTGTGGGATAGTTCTTGGGGGAGGAGGTGCGTGTATGTGTCTGTGGGAGTATGGGGGAGAAACATCTTTCACTGTCAGGACTCTCAGAGCTATATAGAAAATGAGAAGTCAAACAAAAGGCCACTCCGTGCCCAGTAATATGGATACCTACAACCCTCAAAACCAAAGAAGCAAAATTCTTCATCGTTTAAAACCAATTACTGAATTACGACAAAAACTTGTAAGTCTCAGTATCAAAATATGTTATGAATGTAGATAAAGCACAGATGTAGATGTAGCATGTAGAATAAAGATAAAGCACAAATAAAAGCTTATTGCATTTATTTAGCATACGCTTGCTAGACTATATTATACATATAAAGGTATAATACATTAATGCTTTTACCCATGTTATAAAAATGATAATTATTTCCTTTACAACTATATTAACACTATCAGAATGGTATCTGGGTGCACAAGCAAGGTTCTTGATTTAAAGTATTTCAATCAGTGCCATCTTTGCTTTTAAAAACCCAAACTATATGTCATGCTCAAAAGAATAGAAAATATTCCTTTGAAAATAAGAATTCAAATTTTACTTGACACTTAGCCAGTACTATAGCATGTGTTAACAAACATAAACCAAAGGGGAGAAAAATCCAACTTAAAGTAAAATACAGTCCACAAAAGGCAGTTTGTGAAATGAAACAATTACCTTCATAGCACAGAATGCCAATATTGTTGTTCATCTTGTCCAAGTATTGGTAGTTCAACAGGTCCATCTTCATAAATAGCATTTATCAGGCTAGCAAAAAAGACCAGCTTGCTTGCTTTCGCCCAGAAAAAGGGAGAAGCAGCCAGACAGATGCTGTTAAGTAGCTCCTGGCTCTTTCTAAACTTCACAAGCTCAAGGCCCAGCCTTTAATTAATCAAAAAGGTATATTAAAAGGCAGTTTGGAAGGATAAAAAGAGGACCCTTCCAGGTTTTTTAGGCTAAATTTAAAGTGTACTGTATGTCCTTCTACAAAGGTGACTCTTAAAAACCTTTTTGTAAATCTTTGTCTAATTAAAAAGAAAAGAAAAAGAAAGGAAGGAAATTTCCTAAAACAAAGCCACGCTAGTTCTGCTCACAGCCCGCTGCAAGTTAACTGCACTGACATGCAGGCTATGCTTGGTATGACTCGTATGTAAACTAGCTTCCTCTTTCTATCCGGCACAGAGAACTGAGCATGCTCACTGAATCCCTTGAGCTCTTCAAATGTCAAGGATATTTTCTGCACAAGATCAGTCTCTAAATGTATTGAGTGAAAGAAAAGGAAGGAGGAGGTGGAGAGTCTGTAAAGAAAGAACCATGTCAGAGCTGCTCTTGACAGGAAGCAGTGCTGCCACTGCAAACAGAGAGGGAGGGAGACAGGAAAAGTCCAGAAAAACACAGAGACCTCCGAGTACTGAGTTGAGGAAACTGAGCAAGCTAATCTGCAAGGAAACAGGATTAACTTGTTCAGAAAGGATTTCCAAGTGACAGCACTGAGTTTAAACTTTTTACTTTAAATAATTTTTCCCACCCCCTCACATTTAGTTTTACTTGACTATTAAAATATTTGCAACTATTTGATAAGGTTTCAACATAGCACAATAATGTTGCCAATTCACTGAAAAGTAATACTATTTTAAATATTAACAAACTGGATTCTTAGTAGCCAGGATATGGAAAAAACGAGAATTATAATTTTTAAAAAATCACCTGTTTGAATAGTGGAATATGTATCTATAAACACACGTGAAGTTTATGTTTGAGTTTAATGTTGTTTTTTAAATCCTTAAGAAAGATCTGTAGTTAAACATTTTACAGTTTTTTTAAAATGCCTGCTCTAACACCATTTTCAATGACAGGGTAAAGGACATTTTTGTTGTTGTTATTTTTGTTTTTTTAAAACAATAGTTGTTCTCATCTCAGGATGTAGTTTGTTTTCCAGCAGTTCAAAACCTTGATCTTAAAGATTTCTAATTGTTTATACAGATGTATACCAATCATCGCAGAAAGAACAACATCTGTATCAGTATTTCTATGTGGTATGTCATCCTAATAGGTATCATTATATATCCCCTGTGGTAGATTAACACCTAAAGCAACAGTAGGAAAGTGTGGTCTGAACAAAGACATAATGGAGTTCTGGGGTTCTAATATCTGGTCTGTGGCCTTGTACAAATCACTTTTCTGCCTTGGTTACCTCAGGGGAGATTTTCAAAAGGTACAAAAGGAGCTAGGCACCCATCTGTCAATAGAAATTGGATGCCTACATTCCATTCCTGTCTTTTAGGCTAGGGACAGACATTCAAAAAACCTGAGCCTGAACTGATTCAAACTTTGCAGGTTAGTTTAACCTGACTAGGCTGAACTGTTTTGAAACTGCACAGACATTCTCTCTGGACTGAGGAAATTCAGAAACGTACCTGCAGTGGCTCAGGCTAGATGCTGGGGCCACGGGGGGGGGGGGGGGGGGGGAGGCAGCACACTAAAGCAGGTCTCCCTTCCCTTCTGCAGGGAGATGTGCTGAGGGGACATGGGCAGGCCCTGGCAGGACTCTATCATTAGGGATGTCTGCCTGCATGGTCCCAGGCTTTTCTCCACTGGCTGCTCAAGGGGCAGGAGTGTTGCCAGCCCCCAGACCCAGGCTAGCACTCTGAGGCAAGGGGCGGTGTGTACAGTGCATGCATCTTTTGATGATATGGAGCCTTTCAGGCTAGGGACAGACATTCAAAAAGCCAGATCCTGAACTGATTCAACCTTTACAGGTTAGTCTAATCTGTCTAGGCTAAACCGGTTTGTAACTGGACAAACATGCCTGCAGTTGCTCAGGCCAGGCACAGGGGGCACTAGAGCCAGCCCTCGGCTGCAGAGAAGCTGTGCTGGGGAGGGAGTGGCCAACCCAGACTGAACTGGCCAGAGCAGGGTTTAATTCCCACTCTGTGCCACTGGCAAGGACCCAAGCCAGGTCTGCCCACACTCCTCTTCGCTGCTACAGCAGGGAGGCACCATGGCCCCTGAGGCAGAGTGAGGCAGGGAGCAGAGTTTGTTTCCTCTCTACCCCACTGGCAGCCACGTGGCTCCCTGTCCGGAATAGGCCCCCAGGTGTACCTTCCACTGGAGGAATAACCCCATCCCTGCCCATCCCCCGCCCCCCGGGGCCCTGCCTGGCAATGCCCCCTCCCTGCCGCTGAAGCAGAAGGGGACCAGGGCCCTTACTGGGGGCAGCAGCCCCTGTCCCATTGTGTCAGAAAGTGATCCCCTTCCCAGCGAGGGGCTGCGCTGTGACTTCGGGCTGCACACAGCAGTATTGGGGTCTGGGGCCAGAGCCCTGCAAGCCCCTGCAGCACCACCACACTCCACAGCCCCTCTGCTGGCCCCACAGCGCATCCCCGCCGGGAAGCCATGACAGGCTCCAGCTGCCAGGCGGGGGTGAGCCCAGCCCTCGCCGCCCATTCTGTGCCAGGGCAAGCCACTGATGGGGCTTATTCAGCCCCTGTTATTCTCCCCCACCCCAAGTTTCAGCTGCAGCCCGGCTGGGCAGACTAAGCAGCTAGCAGCTGAATAATTCCCTTCCTGCGGGGAGGGGGCTTACTGCAAGAACAGAAAGAGGCCACTCCACCACAACGTGGTGTGCCCGGCCCAGCTGCCACTGCTCTGTCCTCCAGGCCAGCGGCAGCCAGGCTCAACAGAAAGCACAGAGTGGTGGTGGCCACGCTGAGCTGACCCAGCTGTGGTTGAGCAGCCTCTCTCTGTGCATGCAGCAAGACCCCTCCCAGTAGGAAGAAGCTTACTCAGATGCTGGCAGCTGCGTCTGCCTGGCTGGCCTGCAGCTGAAGCTCAGCGGGGAATAATGGGGGCTGAATAAACCCCCTCAATGGCTTTCCCTGGCATAAAACAAGCGGTGGGGGCTGGGCCAGGCCCACCCCCACCCAGCAGCTGGAACAGTGCATGCCTGACAGGCAGAAGCCCATCACAGCTTCCCAGCGACGATGCACTGTGGGGTCAGCAGCACGGCTGTGGAGTGTGGCAGCACTGTGGGGGCTTGCAGGGTTCTGGCCCACTCCACACCCTGGCACTGCCGCACACAGCCCGAGCCCACAGTGCAGCCCCTTGCCGGGAAGCGGCTCACTCTCCCCCACTGTGGGACAGGGACTTTTGCCCTCAGTAAGGGCCCTGACCCCTCCCATTGCAGTGGCAGGAAGGGGGCACAGCTAGGCAGGGGCCCTGTGGGGACAGGGATGGGGTTATTCCTCCGGCAGAGGGGAAAGCCAGAGGCCAATTTGGGGCAAGG